GAAGACTTCTTTTTCAACAGCTTAAGCAAATAGAACACTGAAGGCAACACAGAAGGGGACTGTATTTTAATATGGTTATGATAATTTGGTTGAATTTCTAAATTTAAAAAATCAACATTAAAAGATGTTGGCAGTCTTCCTTTATATGTGAATTTTCACTATTCATGTAAGTAATTTGAAGATTTAAGGCATATAACTAAAATAAAATTGGTCTACATGATACTGCTTTATATATGGTCAAGAAAAAGTATCTGTTTTTTTCCTAAAAGACTATTGTACAATGAAATACAAGGAGCAGAAGCCTCTGTCTCCAAATACTTCCAGGAAGAATTTTGAGTTTTTCACCTATSAATTCCAGAATCTGTCCCACTGATTTCATGTTAAAAGACAATATCACTAATTACACCCGTTAAAGGTGTTTGAGGTCCTGTTGAACTATTTTTTTCATAGCATTGATTGTAGGATTTATTAGTGCTCAAAATAAATGACGTGTAGTTGGATAAGGATTGGTAGTTTCTTACTTCTTCCCTTAAAGAGTTGATGTTTTGGGCTGGGATGTGTGTGTGTGTGTGTGTGTGTGTGTGTGTGTGTGTGTGTGTGTGTTTGGGGTGGTGGTGAGGGAAGAGAAAAAGGCAGTATATAAAAATTATTAAGTAGGCCTACACTAAAATTCTTCCTGGATTGATGAAGATGGGGATAGGGGAAAGTTAGATGCAAAATTTTTAGTATAATAATATGTGTGGGTTTTTTTTTTAAGTGTACAAACTCTCCTGTCCCCGGTGGCCACCCCCCYCTCCCCCCCCCCCCCGTATATGCTGGTACCTCTGGACAGTTCAGAAGCCATTTTAGAACTCAGGAAGGAAAATATGTGAGTTCCACTTGTGCTTTCACAGGTGCTGTGGTGGCAAGGATAACCTTTGCTCGCTTGCCGGGCATTACCAAGCTGTTTTTCATGTCTGTGAGGATTAAAGACAACACAGAAAATTCCAAACCCACATCCTAACACCTGAAGTTCTCATAATGTTTCCACAGCAGATGGCAAAAACATTTCCCTGAAACCTAATTTACCGAGCCTACACCCAAATCTGGGGAGTTTTATTCTTTTGAGGCATCGCTTAAGATCTCAAGTGGATTTTCTGAACTCTTTGGGATTGAAAAAAAACCAAGATTCCCTCTAGGTGTTCTAAACAGTCCTTTAATTCACTGTGTTTCAGGCTGAGGGTCTTTCGGAATGAACGTGCATTTTTGGTCCTGTACCTCTAGTAATTTAGGAGAGAAAGGCAAAAATCACAGGGTAACTTTCTGAATAGTGCCGGGGCTTAGAAGCTAAAGAGGCATTTGTCTCCTCTCAGTTGGACGTTAGGCTTAGAGACCGTCTCTCTTCAGCTGTCCTGGGGGGAGGAGGAACGGAGTGCTGGCACTGGCATCGGGCACCGAGTTGCTCCAGTCGCCTGGCCGCCAGCTCACCTCTGCAGAGAGCTAGGCACTCACCCGCCCGATCTCTCCTGCTCCCACGCCGCCCTTCGGCCCCAGTCCTCAGGCACAGGTCGCCAGAACTATCCAGTGGGGTGGCTGCCGCCTCCTCGCGGACCGCTGCCTGAGGGCCAGGACCGGGGGTGAGGGCTGGCCGCCTGGGTAACCCGCAGTTCCCGGGGCGCTGTGGTGGCGGCCAGGAGGCGCCGAGCCCGGCTCCCCTTCCCCGCCCCCACGCTCCCGCCTCCTGCCCGCTGCGCGGAGCGCCAGCTAGCCCCAGCCGGCTGGCGCGGCAGCGCTCACACTCACTCCGAGGGCGCCTCCAAGGTTACCCGCGGGGTGGGGGCTGGGGCAGGCTTCGGCCCCTGGCCTTCTCCGCTRCCTTCCTATAGTTGCAGCCCTTTCGCCGCTCCAGGGCCATGGTGATCCAAACCCCAAAGCAGAAGACGCTCCCAAGTTCGGGAAGGGAAGTCAAGCTGAGAAGCAGGCAGGCGTCCGGGTCGGAGCGGCCTTAGTGGCTCTGGGTGCCTGGACAGCCGGGTCATGCGAGGTCGCGGCAGGAGGGTGCTGTGGCTCTCTAGTCGCGCGCTGGATGCGGTGCAAACTGGGCCTGGGGCAGCACAAGGGGGCTGCAAGCAGCAACTAGGCGCCCGTGGCGTCTCAGGCTCGTAGAGGGACAGAGACAATTGGGCGGCCAAACCTGCCGAGGAGACTAACTAAATAAAAGGAGACTGTTATTTAAGGCGCGGAAATTTGAAATATTTGGACAGGAAGAGAAGAGAAAAGAAACCTTAGCGAGGGAGGAAAAAAAAAAAAAGGCAACCTAACGGTTTTGAAGCTCCCCCACCCCCACCCTGGGTTTTTCTGCAGGCGGTGAGGAAGCGCTGGGCTCCAGCTTCCTTACTAGGGAGCCTGGAGCCAGAGTTGGAGTCTGGAGAGAGTTTCAAAGGGACCGAAAGGATGTCTTCGGAGCCCCTCCGTAGAACCTGGATTGGCTATGGGCAGAGCTCCATGTCTCAGGCGGAAAGTTTGTTTCCTGCCTCTCACTATGTCTCTGCGTGGATCTGTTTTCTTGAAACTGCAGTGTAAAGCAAAATAGTACAGAGACCAAGACGGGGACTTTCCCCCTTTTCAGCCCTTTGATGAAGGTTGCTTAGGGTAGTCAGGAAGGCTGCAWGTACGACCCTCTCTCGCTCTAGCTCTAGCACTGCGATCTTCCAGGGYTTTTGGACTATTACTTCTTTCCACCCCCATTAAAAGCTGAAAGCACCTTTTAGGGAACTGAGATTTCGAAACCAGTCCCGGACCATGGTTTCCACAATGTTCGTTTGATAAGTACGATAAAGGAAATTTATCATATCGTCAAGTGAATTGCTTTTCCCAAAACAGAATGCCTTATTGTGTATTTGTCAGTTACCCTGTGTGTATATGCGTGCGTGTGTGCGTGTGTACATGAGCTCATCATACCTTGCGAAGTGTAAAATGTCCATCAAAAATTATTGATTCACTACTGAAATAGGATAAAAAGCATTTTGCTTAGTGGTTCAGATACCAGAGCATATGTTGTACGTGCCCCACCTCTTGTCCCAGGTGTAAGCCTGGATTTAGATAACTGACCAAAGSCTTGAGCCTGAGTTTCGCAGTGTGGATGCGAATGCAGAGAAGAAATTTTGGAGCGCATCATTGCGTTGTCTTCTTTATGCTTTCTATCACATTGTCCCCTGAGGCTCTGGGCACCCTATTAATTATTACTTGCATCCTCACTCTTTGTATCTGAATAAATTCAGATCTTTCCCCCGACCTCAGTTTTCTGCAAGTTAGACCCGGTTGAACTTAGCAGTATCGTCTTTTCCATCCTATATATTTCAGTATACTGTCGAGGTTTTTTGAGAGATTGAATAATGGTTTTCATATTTCCTAGAGGGGACCACATAACTCATTTCTGAAATACTTAGTAAAGCTACTTCCTGCGAAGAACCAGAGTACTGTAGGATGTTTTAATGCCTACCAAATTTTAGGCTGATGAAAAGATAACTCTTCCCCTCCCTCTATTGTGTTCAGACCACCGGAGAACAAAACAGTAGTAGTATTCCTCTTTGGCTTTATGATCATATGCCTTTATATTTAAAAACCTCTAAAGGGGAATTTTACTTTATGACACATAGTGGATACTGTGATGTTTAATGGAACCTGAATTTTAAATTCAGAATCATTCAACTTGACAGTTACAGATTGAAAGGTTTTTAAAATTACTGTCAGTAGTAGTGTGCTTAGAAAATATTCAGCACACAAAAGCAATATATCCTGAATGTTTACTGTATTTTAAACATAGCATGTTTTTTCCTTCAAAATCAGGTCAATTTCTATTTTTTCTTAAAAAGTTGCCATCAAAACTTTATGTAGTAAATTGTTATTAAAGGTAACAGAAATCAAAGTCTTGTTACACCTAGGGAATGTAAATTTTACTCAAAAAATGAAAAGGATTAAACTTGCACTCCTATATTCTTTAATCTTTTCATGGAAAATAAATGATTGAAAATCACTTTCCTGCAACTATTCCAGTCCTTTTAAGGGCAGCCATCAGAATCATGCCCTTCAATAAAACTTTAAGTATTTTGTTCTTTTTGAAGCAAGGGCAGAGAGCTTATGAAGTAGAAGGAGGGGATTTTCATATAAAACACCTCTGTTCATGTGGGAGGTGATAAATAAATTATTTGAAATGTATAAATGATAACTGCATTGAAATCCTTTGGTGATAATCTTTAATATGACAGAATAAGTAGTAGATGTTGGGAAATCCTCTTAGAAATTTGAGATGTCTCTATTTCCTATTTTTAGTTAATCAGACTTCTAAAAAAGATTTTATACTACTTTACCAAAAAGTTTTGTAGAAATCAAGAGCCATATGGAAGGTTGGCTTATTTATTTATTGAAAACGTTTCTACATTTATTATTATGCAGATCTGAAACAGTTATGACCTTTATATGTAATTTATAATTATTCTTGCTGAATCTTTTAACCCATCAAAATTGTATTTGCATTTTATTTTAATAAACATTTTGTAATTTTACATTTTTGAGATTCAGGGAGAAAAGTCCAGTATTACATTCAGTACACTTATGGTACAATATTGGGGAATGTATTAATTACTAAAACAAATGTTTAATTTAAAATTTTTTTTTAAAAAATCAACTAATGGGGGGCACTTTTAAAGTGTCATTTTAAAACTTTAGAGCTAATGTTTATTTGTTTTCAGATTGCTACTTCTGAAAAATATTCTTCAACTATTTACTTTAACTTTGAGAAAAAGAAAAGATAGAATATTTGGAGAAATTCATACAGAAATAATGTCAACTTTGAGCTTCAAAAATGCTGTTCTTCTTCTTCTTCTTCTTTTTTTTTTAAAGCAGAAATGAGTCCCAAGTAAACTCTCTGTGGAGTAGGTTGGGAGAGAAATAAAATAATAATTGAATCATAAACAGAATACATCTAGTTTTCCAAATGGTCTAACTTTTTCCAAAACATCTTATGAACTTTTAGTACAATTTTTAGCAAGTGGCATGTTTTGTGTGGGTTATAGAGGAGTGAAAATCACAGAAAAATGTCTGCCTGCTTGGAAAAAGTGTTTTAATTAGGCTAAAGAAGCATCAGGACAAACCATTTTATAAACAAAGTCTCGAAGTTGGATATAATGATTGGCAAAGGGGTAAGCAAAGAAAGTCAAGTAGTTGATAAAATGTGGAGAAGAAAGGCAAAGCTATTTGCAATTACACATTAGATATCAAGATTTTGCCAGTGAAAAAGATGTTTAAATATATTCATGAACCTGTAGCAAGATTTCCACTTGTGCAGTTTCAGAAGCTTTAACTAGCTGCTTAAAATATGAAAAAACTATATTTTAACAAAAGATATTAAAATAGTCAAGACAGCCAACTAATTAACTGACAAAGTAAAGGCAATGTGGGAAAGCCCTCCCATATTCATTGCAGATTTGCTGCTCCCCCGACCCCAACCCCATTTGCCTCCAGCAGGCTAACGACCTCATTCTTCCCATAGAGCCTGGCCAAGTCGAAGGCTGTGTCCCCCGAATGGTTCCGATGCCCCACATTGCTGGCCGTGTGCTTCACTAGGAACTCCACCACTGGGAGGTGGCCTTCTTTGGCAGCCAAATGCAAGGGCAGGTTCCCTTCATTATCCTCGATGTTAACATCAGCTTGAAACTCCAGCAAAGTCTGTAAAGTGTCCAAGAAACCTGCTCTGGCTGCATCATGAATGACAGCAAAACCAGTTCGGTCTTTCAAATTGGGATTAGCACCTCTAAGTAGTAGTCTCCTGGCAATCTCGGGATTTCCAAGTTTCATAACCTAGAAAAGAAGTAACAACATAGGATCCTTCAAGTGCTTATGCTACAGGAATATTTTAAAATATCTATCTGTCCTATTTATATAACTATTTTTAATGCAGTCCTTAGATTCCTAGCAACTCCTCCCGAAGGGCTCAATTGAAGGAAAGTACTAATTAGTAAAAATAGAATACTTCTGAAAATTGAGCTTCTTTGATGGAATATTTTAAATGGGCCCAGAAGTGGGATAAATTGATCAATAATAGTTGTGCAACTTGTGTAAATTTTGCTGACAATTCAGTTATTTCCCATGAGGAGTTGCATATTTTCTTTCATAAATTCATTGAAATAAAAAATTTGTGATTTAAATAAGATTTTCCTTCTCCTATTTGCTCATACATGTTCATAAAATGTGCCTACAGTATTAATTCTGGAAAATCAAATGTGAGTAAAATTTGTTTCTAAATAGCTACTGAAAACAAGTAAGGATGGTGAGTTTCTTTAAAGTCCCAAATAAGYGTCACCTAGTGTAAAATTGATCTATTAAAAATCCAGACTTAATATTTTCTTAAATGATTACTTTTCACAAGTTCCCTCTAAATAGAGATTTTGATAACCTCGAATTTCTAAATATTTATTTTAAAATATTTTCTTTGCAAGTTCTTTACTATTGACTACTATGTTCGATGTTTAGAATCCTTCATTTCAAATTACAGAATGTTACTGATTATTAAARCATTAAGTAAGCCACAGTGTTCTATAATGCTTATTATATCAATTTATGTAAAATTAAGTTCATGTTATACCTTTTATTAGATAGAAAATGATTGTTTGGCAGCTGTTCTTGAAAAGGATGAAACAGTCATCCTACAGTATTATTTACTGTTTCTCAAGGTTCTAACTAATCTCCTGATTATCAAGAGAGCAAAAGCAAAAACCAAGATATTTGATGTGTGTTTTGGGGCACGGACAGCTTTGTCTTGTGGTTTCAGCCCATTTAACAATGAACTGGTGAGCCTATCATTTACTTTTATAGTTATTATAAGCATTTAGGAATAACTATTTGTAAATTGCCAAAATTTTACAAGTCAAAATGTGTTATTAACATGGGCTATCAACATGAAATAATTCACATCCCAAAAACTTATTTACTGTTGTTTAAATGTATTTCACTTTAATAAAAGGTGTMTATTAGTCTCTCATAGTTAAAAGAACAGCATGCAAGTGTAATATAATTTAGTTGTGAGAAACATTATTCATTAACATGCCAGAAAATTCAGCATTTTAACTAGTTTCATTTATATTTAGGTATATTCATAATAATCTAAATTTAAAATAAATAGGTTGCACAGAAGACAATGTTTATTAAATTAAATAATAATCCATTGGAAAATACATACAAAGTTAATTTTATTTCTTTGAAATGTTTTTAAAAATCACAATTATGTAACATAAAATATACTGAGAATTATAAATAAAATATATTTTAGAAATGTAAACTAAATAGATGGTCAAGATATTAAGTTTCCYAGTTGATCAACCCTGTGAACCTTTAGTCCTTCCTTTATGGCAATAGTAAAAAAGACAATTTATTTTTCAAGAACTTCAGGGAAATATRCTTTTTGGTAATTAAAAATTAATACAATTTAATTTTTGCCACAACTCTCTAAAGATTTGGCCACATTCAAGTGAGAAAAACGAGAGAGACCCCATGGATCCTTGCAAAGCAAATGTATGATTAAGGCCTTCATTATTATACTGATTGAAAACCTAACCCTAGGAAGAGAAAGCTTTTGCAATTGAGTTAAATAAATATAATTATAGAAGAAATTTGCCATCTCTCATAGAAAATAATAGTAATATTAGAAAGGTTTTGAAGAAATTTCTTTCTTATGACATAACTTCAGAGGCATACTGAAAATAAGCCTCTAGATTCCTGTTTGTGTGTTTCATTTCATTTTATGTACTAAGACTAAGTCACAATAAGTGAGTGTTATTATCTTGATAAGTATGTTAAATATGAACATGATTGCTGAGTTGTATTGAAAATATTTGTCCAAACTTTTTTTATAGTATTAATTGTCCAATCTTCTTGTTCGTCAAAAGTCCTGTAAGATCTTATTCTGAACATGGATTCATACTTTGTGAGACTGAGATAATCTCTGGACTCTTCAGTAGGAAACTTTTCAATATATTACATTTGTGGCATTGTTATTATCACAAACCTGTTGAAAACTACTAGTTGGAAAAAAAATTCTTTCCCTACTTAATCTATMTGAAATAACAAGTTAAATACTTTAGCATCTATGAATACTCTTCCTTAATACTGAAAGTTTTACAAAGCCAGTGCATTCAAATTTAAAATGTACAGAGTATGTGCACTTAAAACTTATAATTCTTATAATAACAAAGCCTTCTAAACAAAGCCATTTAAAAGCCCTCTTCCCACTGGGTTTTCAAAAACAGCTTCCAAATAAGAACAGTTCATAAAAATATCATAAGAAGTCTGATAAAGCAACTATTTGAGACTACTTTTCCATTTTTTTTCTGTTTCTAAGCCTTTCTACTAAGTTACATGATAACGTTTGGAGGAGGAAAAAATTATCAGGTACATATTTGGCAGCTGGACATGTGTCAATTGTTGCCTGTAAACCTAATTACTGAAAATTAGAGCATACCACGGCATGACCACAGAGACAAAAACACTGCAGCTGAGCTCTGACTAGAAAATTAAACTTTTTATTTCTTTTCATTCCTTAATGGGTGGATGGTATTATATTAACTGTGAAATGTACATCCTGTCCCTGTGCCCATTCCAAATGAGGAAAGGTCGTTTGTCAAAACGTGAAGCATTTGAAGGAAAAACACTCTTGCTAGTAGTCAAAAAAATTAACATTAAGGGCAATTATTGAGGGCAAAGTACATGAAACCACTAATAGCAGTGCATTTACTTCAAATAATAATCATAATATTGTGCTTACAGAACTGTCTAAAACAAAACAAAACAAACAGTCCTCGGCGCTCCTATCACTACTTTAAAATCCCCAACCGTCACAAAAACATTCCAAAAAATCAAGACCAAACCTAGAATCCTCTTGGTATGGAGGATGTTATTGGATTTGACGAGTTTGTTCAAAGTACGTCATTTTGGGGAGCTGGATCCACTTAAAGATATAAAATATGGCAACCGACTAGGTTTAAAAACAGTGAAAATTTGTACCCCTGAAAGTTGAAAAGCTGTCATGCTAGAGACCTGGTTCACGTAGGCAACATTATTAACCTGTTTTCCCCACCTCTTTGGATACCAACCTGCAGTGCAGTTCTTCCAAATCCATTTTGTGCATTGACGTTTACATTATTTTGCAACAAACTAGTAAGTTGCTCTAGGTCCCCCCTGGCAGCTGCGGACGCCAACTCGTTCCCCCAAGGTTCGGCCATTCTTTAGGGTCCTGACGATCAGGAAAAGATGAATTAGTTGTTTTTCTTTCTCCCCCTTCCTTTGCTCCTAACTAGGCTGCATGACGGCATCGGAGACTGACAGAAGGACTGGGATGGTTAATCTGGAGTAGAGCTTGGTAGTAAATACTAGTAAGATCTGCCTGCCAAAAGCCCGCCCCTCGATTCACACGTGATTATTCAGCAAAACTGAGCCATTGGAGGGGGGGGCTCCTTTCCTCGCTTTTTAGCTTAACCCCTATGAAGATTCAACCCCCTGGTGATTCAACTGAGAGACACACAGACATTCTTGGTTAACTGCTCTGGACGTGAGGTGTAGGCAGAAATGTCACGCACTTACAGATCTCTGAGGAATATGTGTGGAGACTTCAGGGACTAGGTCAGGATAGAAAATACCGCGGAAGAAAAGGCATTTGGGAGGAACAAAAGACATTAACCCACCCTTGTTCACGGTGGTGACTTGAGCCAGAACTTCAGGGGCAGGCCCTCGCAGGGGCTCGGTTTCCATCCGTCTTACGGAATGGGGTAGTCTGGAGTCCTCCGTTGCTGGGAGAGCGCCGCTGTGGCTGGATGCTGACGTGCTCCGCGAGTTAAAGATGATCGCCAAAGGCAGACWGGAGTAGCAGTTCTGTGGCCCTCCAGTTACAGGTCGAAATAATTTCCAATGTTTTCGGCTTCTCAAGAGGAGCCTTTAGTCCGGTGGGGGCCGAGCTGCGGACTACTGCCGCGCTAGAAGGCTCTGGAGCCCGCCCGCCGGGCTGCCGCAGCTCCTCTGAGCCTCAGAGGCCGTGGGAGCCGGGCTGGGCGCGCAACTCCCAAGGTTGCCGAGCGTGCGGCCGGACCCGGCAAGCCCGTCATGCCGGCCCCACCGGGTCCCGGGACACCCGGCAGCCTGAGCAAGGACGATAGCGATGCGGGAAGCGTCTATCGGGTTCGGGTCGCTGGAGCAGCTCGCGGCAGCATCTCAGCTGCAAAGAGCAGCTCACGGGTAACTTCCCGCCTACGACTGAGTTAGGTCTGGCTTTCTGCTGTAGACACTCATTGAGCTGCCGCCGTCGCCTTCTTTTCGTGTCTTTCCCAGTTTTCTGTGTGCCTCCGAGATGGGGAGGGTCCTGGGAAGAGGAGGCCAAGCCCTGAGTATGGGTAGTCGCCACAATTCCAGGGCGCAGCCAGTTCAGCCGCCCTCTTGACGAGAGCTCAGCAGTTTCGGCGTCCTGTGCCACTTCGCCAATCTTTCGCGGTCCCCCAGCCTGTGCCCCTAGCCTGAGCAGCCGACAGGGCAGCGGCTGCCAGCCAGCTGTGCCCTAGAGCCGAACTGAGCAGCACAGCTTCCTCTCAAGCTGCAGCACTGCCAGTGACAGTCTCCTTTGTAGTTGGTCCCCAAAATTGCAGGTCTCTGCTCGCCTTACCACTACAGGCACTTGCGCGTCGTCCCCCTTTCTGACCTTTTCCTTCCCTCCCTCCGTTGCTTCTTTTTTTCGCTGAAATAATTGCTGCTWCTGTTGCCTCTGCAGAGATGGTGCCGGTTTCTTCTCCCTTTTTTTCCGACCTCATCAGCTTTTTTTGAAAAGAAAAAAATTGAGCGCTTTTTGAGTTGAAAAACCCGCCCCCATTTTAACGGCAGAGTTTTAAGGAGGCCCGGCGGAGTTGCTGCGCCGCGGGAGCGGGAAGGCAGGGCACCGCCCACGCCCCGCCCTCCGCCCTGGTGGCGCTAGAGCTCGCAGTTTAGCACGCTCCGCCCTCGAGGCCCGGCGCCCTTCCTCCCGCCTTCTTGCTGTCTGCCTGCTGGGTCTGTAGAGCTGGCTCCCTCCAGTCGGCCCCTCGGCCCGGTCCCACTAGAGCGGGGATCGGCACCTCAGAGCGGGGCCTACCYTCCTCAGGGCGTGATGGAGTCCCGGACGCGAAACCCGGGTTGCCCTGTAAGGGCGGGGGCAAGGGGACTGTTAAATTGAGTCGATTGTGGAGAGCTGAAAGGCCTTGGAGGCTCGGCAGCACAGGCTGCTGGCAGGCGGAAAGGGAGCTGGCGCTGAGCGAGGCGGGTCGGCCAGCCTCCGCGCGCCGCAGCCAGGCTCGCAAAGTTCGAACAACCCGGCCTGCGGCTGCCCCCTCCTTTAGGTGCGCGCGCTGTGTAAATTCGGCCTCCCTCGCTCAGCTCCGGGCCTCGGCCTCGCACCTGCCAGATCATCGCTGAGGGCCGCCGAGGTGGCGGTTGGGTTGGAGGAGAGACCCAGACTGACAGCACAGTGCCCAGAAAAAGCAAAAGTCTTTTTTACACACCGAGGTTTTACGAAAACTGAAAACATGTTATAAGTAGAAAAGCATAATGAACTCTGGAGTCTTAATGTTGCAGGGACTAGAAAATGTGAAATATTCCTCCTATTCCTGGAGGAAAAGGAGAAAAGCAATTATTTTAAACTATTGAAAGTATGCTTTGGAAAGAGTTTTCTAACCGCTTTTTCTTTGTTGTGGAAGTTTTCTTACTACTTAGATGGGGTTTGGTTTTCTGGGCTGGAGTTGTGGAGGAAGGTCTAAGTGTAAAGGAATCSTCTCTACCCTACCTGTTTATTTCAATCATCAGGTCCCAATTCTCTGTACCTTTAACTTTCTCTTTTAGCTATGAGACGTTAATTAACTATTGCTTTCTTTATTTTTATGCTCTTAAAAATATCGAACACGTTTGCATGATGCACCCGGTGGTCAAAATGAAATCAAGCAAAAAATGACAAAAGGTCTAATTAGAACCAGCCTCTGGCACCATATGTACTTAAGCAACATCTGTACCCAAGTCCTTGAAATAAACTGGGAGTGTTAAAACACACTAGATACATCTGGATAATTATCTAGCAACAGATTGGCTGTTAGGTGGAGGGACAACTGAAACTGTGAAGAATCTGGCAGTGTTTTAACTGAATTATTCAGGAAAAAAGAAATAACCAGAGCTCTTTATTTGAGGTAACTAAAGATGAATTGTGAATCAGGTGGGAACTGCAACACAAGAAACTGATGCCTCTTTTTTCTTACATATATTTAGACAGTCCAGTTGGACATTTAGGGTTCTATATATGCAAGTAATAAATAATTTTCTTTGGATTATTTTGGGAACTGTTTTTTTTTTGTATAGATGGGAAGTGTATAGCACTATTGGCTAAGAGATAACTGATATTAATACAATTTATAAAAGTTGCTTTCTAGCATTCATTATGACTTCTTGCTTACAGATAATATTGTAATGAGGAAGAATCAATTGTACTTATTATGTAAAGAATGGGTTAAACATGTATTACAATTTTCATATTGTAAAATACTTTTGCGTTTAACTGAGTAAAAAAATTTGTGGTAATACATGATGCACATGGAACTGGATTAAGATTTTTACAGATCCTCCTAAGCACTGAAAATATTTTGGTGTCCCAGCATCCCTATCTCATATGTAAATAAAWTTTTTTTAAAACCCCCAAAATAAAAAAGTACAACAAAGTTCTGTTTTTCTCCATAATGACTAGTTCAGTTGCTTATGCTGAATTATTAAATTCTTTAGGGAAGTTTGTGCGTGTGGAACTTTTTTTTATTGTTTGTTTTTGTGGAGTTTGCTGGACCCCTAAAGTGTATGTTTACTCTGCCTAATGTGTATACCAGAACTGGCAGCACAGAGGTTAGTCTAGTTTAGAGAGCATAAGTGAGCATTATAAGTATTGCCAATGAAAATACAACATATATTGAGTGCTAGTTCACAGAAATAGATTCAAGAATATTTCTGCCTTCAATAAGCTTATATTCTAACATGGAACACACAGTATTCTATTATATTGAGAGTAGTGTTTTCTTTTTTAATATAGTAATGATATGTCCCTCAAATACTAAAATATAGACTTTCTAGTTGGATATTAAGTACTAACAATCATGGGAACTTCTTTCTTTAGTAGTTTAGAATCATTTTAAAGGAATTATAGAAAATGATTTAGCCAAACTTTTCTGTACATTTCCCTCATTGACTCAAATATACTTGGTTTCCGAATGATTAGCTTTTGACAATATGTTTGAGATACTTAAAATTTCTTCTTCTTCTTCTTTTTTTTTTTTTTTTTTTGGTGTGTGTGGGGGTGGCACTGGGGATTTAACCCAGGGGCACTTTACCACTGAGCTACATTCCTTTTAGTTATTTTTTATTTTGAGAAAGAATCTCACTAGTTGCTTAGGGCCTGGCTAAATTGCTGAGGCTTGATCTTGAATTTATGATTCTCAGGTCTCAGCTTCCCAAGCCCTGGGATTACAACCTGCAACATCACTTCCGGCTATAATTTCTTAACCTGGTCTCAAAATCTTTCTCTTTTTCGTATTTATAGATAAACAGAGGTGGAAAGCAGATCAGCAGTGGCAGGGAGCCTTATTATGACTTTTACTTGTGGCTTTGACATTTTATTTCTGAGATTCAGTAGGCTTTTTCATCTGGGTGCTTATACCACTTAAGAAAGTCCTTTTGTAAAGTAAGGGGAAAAAAAGCACAGTAAGCAATTCAAAAGCTTAAGCATAATAGCAACAATTAGTATTTGGATAGTGTTTTGTGATGATGAAATATGATACATATGTTATTTAATTTTGACAACTCTGTGAGGTATATATAATTATTCCCATTTTTCAGATGAGGGAATTAAGAATGATAGATTGTGATTTAAAGTCTGCAGGTAGTGGACATAGTGTTTGAACTAAAATCTTAGGCCCAAAATCTTATGTCTTACAGATTTTCTTTACTTATGAGTCTAGAATTAACACTGGATTCTTACAAAACATGCAATCACTAGATGAAATACATGTTTATTTATTTAAGTATGGGCCTAAGACTGTAGTAGCATTAGTCTTGTGAATTACACTATAAGTAAGAAATATTGTTTAAAAAATTTGGTTATCTTAAAGGATCAAAGTTAATTTTTTTTCCTGTGTCTCAAGACCTTGCCATCCTTATTGGATTGGGCCAAGCTTTCAGCAACAGGAAGAGGGGAGGGAGGGAGGGAGGGGGGGGGGAGAGAGAGAAACTCTCAGAGCAGCTTTTTATTCTGTTAAGTGGTTTTTTTTTGTGAGGATTAAATTAAATAAGAAATAAGGTGTGTAATGTACCTGTACATACTAGACACAATAAAAATAATGAATTCAAAATTATTGACTATCTACCCAAGACTCTGTTACATATGAAATATGGTGAATATACAAACCCATAAACTGGGCATGGTGGTACATAACTTAATCCCAGCTACGCAGGAGGATTGCAAGTTCAAGGACAGCCTCAGCAATGTAATGAGGCCCTGTCTCAAAATAAAATATAAAAAGGCTGAGGATGTAGCTTAGTAACAGAGTACCCTGATGTTCAATTCCTAGTACCAGAAAAGCAAAAATAAAGCAAAACACATGGAATGAAATGGCTTATTATTTCAAGAAACTTTCAACATTTGGAAAGAGAGAAAACATACATAAATGAAACAATTAAGGAAAAAACGCAGAATTCACTAGAACACTAAACTGTGTTGTAAAGATACTAAAAACCATGATAGGGATCCTTATTGGCTTAAGTTTTATTAAAGGAGTGGACCCTCAGAAAAGCATTTAGGAACTGGCATATAGGATAACAACAACTAATATGTTAGGAAAGTTTTAAGGTTTATGAGGAGTTTTCATAAGCATTTAAAATCACTCTATATAAGTTCCTTAGTCCCTTATAAAACATAGTCTATAAGTTTTCTTTAGAGATAAACAGATTCAGAGGGGTTTTGTGAAGGAGCAGAGTTAGATCTCAAACCCAGGAAATCTATGAAATATGTTAGCTTTATAAAAAGATTTAATATTTTCTATACATTTTCATAAAATTATTTTCTCATTTACCACCTGAAACAGTCCTCTTAAAAGCTGAAGTCAGAGAGCCTTAAGAAACTTATCCAACTTCCTACTGTTAATTATTTGGGAAATCAGTACTAAAAGTCTGCCTGAATGTATAGGATATTCTTCCATCTTTCTACATTATATTGTTTTAATTTCCAAATGTAAAGAAGGGAGGAATAAAGAGAGTAGCACAATATTTGGATAGGTTCTGAGGTACAGTCACATAATATATACAGGAATCCCCACAATGTTTTACGGCTGTATTCATCGGGACTATATAAATAGAAACAATTATTCACCTTCCTACCTAGGGTGACTTATGCCAGTGGGGCAACTGAATAGCCTTACTTATATTGTTGGCACTGTTTCACTTCATGATTTTTATATATGTATACATATCATATATATATATCTTAAATTTGTTTAGTTGTTGATGTATAGTTATTTATTTATTTATTTATATGGCAGTGGCGAGAATCCAACCCAGTGCCTCACACATGCTAAGCAAGAGCTCTACCACAGAGCTACAACTTCAGCCCTCATAATTTATATTTGTACTGAATTTTAGAATTTCTTTTCAGGGAATACAATATATAAATGTACTGGGGATCCAATGCAGGAACCCACTCATGGTAGGCAAGCACTCTGACCACTGAGCTACACCCCCAGTAAATCTAGATCTTAAAACAACTTAGCATACTTCTTTGTATTCAAAAAACTGAACATTTAATTCGGATTTCTGATTTTTCAAGGATACATTTCCAATTTAATAAGCTTAGGCCTTGATTTCATATGGTAATTTCATTAGTTTCTATTTTAGATGTACTACATAAAATCAGCAATCTCACTTCACATTTTATGGTGTTTACATACTTTACAAAGCATACAAATGGCCCATTACAGTCCAGAAGCTAATATTTTCCCAAATCAAAGTTGAACATACTCCACTGTCACCCTTCCTCTAGTCTGGATGGCAATTATAAACTGCCGCTGTTCATTGTACATTTTTTTTGGCTTGTTTAGTTACAAAGGCTGTAAATTTCTGACCAAAGCTTGAAACTTTCAGTAATTGATGAGTAATCTAGTTTCTTTATTTGTAAGAATATTTTAATAAGACCTGAATACTTTCAAAACTGGAAACAATAGATGTGATCACAACATAAGTCAATTTTATTTCTTTTTWAAAAAAAATATTTATTTTTTAGTGGTAGTCGGACACAATACCTTTCTTTTTATTTACTTATTTTTATGTGGCGCTGAGGATCGAACCCAGGACCCAGGGCCTCGCACGTGCTAGGCCAGCGCTCTACCGCAGAGCCACAACCCCAGCCCACGATTTTATTTCTTATAACTACCAATTTAAAAATGCTCAGCCTCTTTTTGAGGTCGAGATTCTGAAGACTCTCTCAGCTTYCAGGCCTCTCCCACGTATATGTTAGAAGGAGTTTGGGTACTTCTGTGGTACTGAGAGACTGAGGATGCAGACCAAGAGGCTTGAGAATATATGTGACAGTGTTAGCGGGTTTTCACTGTCAGGTTGACGATTAGGGACTGCATATGAAGCTGTATTTTGGTGAAACTTAAAATGTACATTTGTGAAATGCTAGTTCGACGGGTTGTGAGAATGTGTTGAGTTGTGGAGACGCTGTAGGTGTGTGACTAGCCACGTGAGGCGAAGACTCCGATCCCCGCCCCAGCCAGCTGGAGGCAGTACCCCCAGGCCTTAGCTTAAGCCCAAACCGGAATAACCCGTTGCGGGACTTCCAGCTCCCGCAGTTGCTGGTTGGCGTCTGCGCTGCGCGGGTAGGCATCTCCTCCCGGTAGTCGCGCTCCCAGCGCTTGACAGGAGGGCAGTCACGTGATAGCCGCAAAGCGGTGCTTTGCGACCTCGATGACAGGCAAAATGTGCGACAGCTCTGGCGCTGGCCAACCAGGGGCGGAGGCGGCGGGCAGGGAGGAAGCGGAGGAGGCGGAGGCGGCCTTGGCGTTCGCCCGCCTGCTTGTTAGCTTCGTTTCCCCGCCCCCGCCGGTCTTGTCGTGGCTGAAGGGTGCCGGCTGCGCGCTGTCGCAACCTGCCCTCAACCTGGCCTGCGACAGTAAGACCTGATCCGTAATCAATCCAACCTCCCTGTTGGGGCGGCTGCGGTGCGGGCTCCGTGGGGCCCTGGCAGGCTGCTGGGGCGCCTGAAGGTTACCGAGTGCATGAGCACCTAGCGCCTCCCGCGCTGCCCCGCCCGCCGGCCCGCGGGCCCGCCCGCCGGCTCGCCCGCCAGCCCCTCGGCGCCCGGCGGCGGCGGCGGCGGCGGCGGCGGAGACGGCCACGGCCGCAGGAGGCGCCGTCTCCCTCCCAGGTGCGCGCTTCGCTCCCGGAGCCGCGGTGCTCGGCGGCCGCCATGGCGTCCAACATGGACCGGGAGATGATCCTGGCGGATTTTCAGGTGAGGTATTTGGCCTGATTCTCCTCCCTCTTCCAGCCTCGTGAATTCCGGGTATCTGAAGGGTGGCCTCTTCCCAGCGTTTGGTTGAGTACTGCAGTGGTGTGTAGTTGAGGCTTTTATACGGGACGTGGTGTGTGTGTGTGTGTGTGTGTGTGTGTGTGTGTGTGTGTGTTTTGTGAATCGTAAGCCGTGGGGAAGCATAATTCATTTGCTACTGTGGGTGTGTGTAGAATGTATTAAGTACGGATTGAATGAGATTTTTAGGTTGGAGGTTATGAATTTTGGGTTACTATGTGTGGAGTGTTTATCACATAAGGAATGTGTAAAATTTGGGGGTATTAAGTGAGGGACCATTAAGTATGAAGTGTTTGGGTTGTTCCATGAGGAGCTTGGGATGTTTGGAATGTGTGAGTGTGTTTGTGTGTGTGTTTGTGTGTAGTGTGTGTTATGGGTGTGGTGTATTGTATTAAGGGAAGAATAAAACAGAATGATGAGGAGGTGGTGGTGAGAGTAGCTGGGCATTCTAGTCCTTTTCAAAGAGAAATAAACATTTGAGACTTTGAGTGCCTTACTGGAATCTTTGGAGGGTAAGAAGATAAGGAAGAGACAGTAGTCTGTATTCCATTGTATTCTCTACAGTGATTTCACGTGCTTAATAACCAATTCATATGTTGCGGCTCCCCCTCCCCTACAGATTTAAATGCTTGGTTGGTGTACTGTCTCCAGGAATAACTTAAAAGATAAGTAAAGGTTATTCCCCGCAATAATRACACTGGCACGTAAGTATCTTAGGGAGGCCCTTTCAAATTAGAGCTGTATGCATCAGGAGATAATTGGAGTTAGAAGTGATACTCTTTGAATGTTAACTTTGTCTTTTGCTGTTTGGTGAAGAAAATATTTWAGTGTTTTTATCCATTTTGACATTAACTTAGAAGGTATTGTCAAGTATAGTCAGACTTTTGTTGCTGTGATCCAACACTAGCATTGGAGGCATCATTTTCCTCACTGAGCTTTTCTTGGGCTTCTTCTCCACCCCCGACCCCCTTATTATTCTTTATTTTTACAACTTCATGTTCTGGTGACCATTTTGATCATTTCCAGAGTTTGTTCTTTTGGTTACTCTGTGGTRTGTGATGTGCTGGGAATGTTCAAGTAGCTACATTTTCTTTATATTATACTCACAAGACTAGGGAAAGGAAGAATCTTAAAATAAGTCCACTACAAGATTTTGTTGTTTTGTAGGTTTAGGAATGGCCTGAGGTCTTTTGCTTGCCTAAATCTTTCATCATTTTTTTGGTTTTGCTTTTTTGTTTTAAATCCTTCAGTTCAGTCTTTATTGTGGTATGCATTGTGTGAAAAAGAACTTTATATTTCTGGGTATAGTTTTATCCTGTTATAAAACTGTTGTGTTCTGATGGGAAAGTCTTTGGTCAACAAAAAGAGCAGTTTACTTTGTTAAAAGCCCTAAGGTAATTATAACTTTATTTTGATTTCACCAAACTTTTTACCTCTAATAATTTGTTGCTGCTTTCAATTTTATTATTTGTGACAATTATTTTGCTTACTGTTTAATCTTACGTTGACTAAAAAACTGGAAATTTAGTTTAGTTTTTTTTGGGGGGGAGGAGGGAGGTACCAGTTATTGAATCCAGGGGTGCTTAATCACTGAACCATGTCTCTAGCCTTTTTTATTTTTTGAGACAGGTTCTTGCTAGGTGCTTACCACTTCCCTAAGTTGCTGAAGCTGGCCTTGAATTTGAGATCCTCCTGCTTCAGCCTCCTTTGTGCTGAAATTTCAAGCTTGCATCCCTGCCCCCCCCCCTTTTGTGGTGTGAAAATTTGAATCCAGGGCCTTAAGCATGCTGTGTAAGAGCTTTACCACTGAGTTATATCCCCAGCCCAGGTTCTTACTCTAAGAGGCAAAGTTAATATTTTTCTGACAAGTATCTGGAGTTTTGGTCATGATTATTTTGATCTCAATAAATTTGAAGAAGATTTTCTTTATTGGAATGGTCCTATTGGCCAAGGAAAATGCTGTGCATTATTGTTTATTAATGAAAAAAAAAAACTTAACGGCATGTGCTGTGAATGGTTGTTTACCAAATGGGAATGTTATATTGTCAAATAGCTAAGAAGATATTATTGATAGAATAAAAAGCTATTTAGAAAGCTATATACATGTTAAACACATTAACCATTTGTATATTTAGGAACCTGTAATCCTCTTAGAAATCAAGATGCCAGATAAGTTTGCTTTTGTAGTCTTACTTTAAAATTGWTTATACTTCCTATTTTTTATATAGTATGTTTTTCAGGACTGACTTTTAAAAATAAGCATTTATGGGGCTGGGGATGTGGCTCAAATGGTAGCGYGCTCACCTAGCATGTGTGAAGCAATGGGTTCAATTCTCAGCACCACATAAAAACAAAATAAAGATATTGTGTCCACCTAAAACTAAAAAATAAATATTAAAAAAAGCATTTATCCAGTTATATGAAAACCAGGTAATTTATTTTAAAGATTATACTTAAAGACTTGGGTGTAGGATGTGAAGGTGATCTGGCTGCAACATCTGTCAYCCTATTGATCATCACGGTTGACTCAGCTGATCTGGCTGGCTAGGTGGATGTCCCCATCCTTCCTCACCACTCCTTGTGCGTCCCAAAGCTGCTGAAGAGGACAACCTTCCCCTATAGAGGAGAATATAGAGTAGGACCCTACTTGGGTCAAAGGTATGGCCAAGGGTATACGAATAGCAGCATTCCCTTTCTAGAACCTTCAGACAATCCYTCAAGAGTGGATATAGATTATTGGATGACATCAGTTTCTTCTATAAATGGACAAATTATTTTCCCTACACAAAAATGAATATATCAAATTCATATTTTGTTTATTTATGATTTGAGAATTTATAATAACTTGAGAGTTTAGTGTCTTTGTAGAAAAGACATAATTCAAAAATTTGATTAGATTTAAAATTCAATTTTGATCATTGCTGGACAATAGGTTCTAATAAATACAGTGTTTAAGTATGGAAAAGCTTTTTTTTCTTTTCTTTTTTAACAGTAGTAGTAGGGATTAAAAATAGGGGAGCTCTACCACTTGAGCTATATCCCCAGCCTTTTTTATTTTTTAGTTTTAGACATGATCTTCCTAAGTTGCTTAGGGCCTGGCTAAATGACTGAAGCTGGCCTGGAACTTGTGGTCCTCCTGCTTTAGCCTCCTGAGTCACTGGGATTGCAGGTGTGCCACAACTGTAAAATCTTTTGGGAAGGAATTTTGTATTATTTTTGACTATTTCAACTCACTAGAGAAAAGACTTCTATTGAAATCAGTGGAGAAGTGGTGATAAGAGGTGGATGGAAGATTATAGCTCATACTTAATGGGATAGTATAAGTGGGGGAACTTAGTACAAGTCAAACAGCCCCCTCCTGAAAATTATCCCAGTTAAGTAAATATTTTATTTTTTGTAGTGCTGGGGATCAAGTTTAGGGCCTTGTACATGCTAGGCAGGCACTTTACCACTGAACTACAGTCTCAACCATAAATAAAATTAATTGTGGTAAAATATGTACTAAAATTTGCCATATTAGGCTCCTTTAAGTCTTAAATGGGATTAAGTACATTCACATTGCAGTGTAACCATGACCACCAACCATCTTCAGAACTCTTTTCATCCTATAAAACTGTAATTATGTATCCATTCCTCCCTGTCTCTGGCCCTTGGCAACTACTATTCTATTCCCTCTTCATGAATTTGACTGTTCTAGATAGCTTATATAAATGGAATCATATACTCTTTATCCTTTTGTGACTGGCTTATTTCACTTATAATATATTCAAGGTTTATCAATTTTGTGTTATGTGTCAGAATTTTATTCCCTTTTATAACTAAATAATGTTCCATTGTTTGTATATTTCACATTTTGTTTATTCATACATTTTCAATGGACATAGATTCTCACCTTCTGGCTATTATGAATAATGCTGCTGTGAACACTGATGTATAGACATTTGTTTGAATTCCTGCTTTCAGTTCTTTTGGGTATATACCCAGAAGTAAAATTGCTGAATCACATGATAATTCTAATTTTAGTTTTTTAGGAACTGCCATACTGTTATCTGTAGTGGCTGCACCACCAAAATTTGAATGGAGAGAATGCCAGCATCTTGTTTAGTAAATTATTTTTAAAGTTAACTCTGAGCTAATGAATTTAGAATTTGGAATATTTTACCAAAATGTACCTTTAAACATACATAGTGTTGTTAGCACAGTGTGTTACTGGTATAGGAATAAATAGAATAGTACACCTACAGTTCTGCCTTTAAAAAAACAGATAGGCATTGATTAATCATGAGATCCCCCCCCATGTTTTAATAACAGAGATGCATTCAAGTGAAAGTTCCAAATCTTGTTCTTTTTTTTAATTGTAGAATTCTTTAACAACTGATTTTTATTCTTTCTTTTCCTTTACAAAAATCATTCAATCAAACAAACTTTGAAACCCTATTTGGTTTGTTTATAGATGTGAAAATAGTTATCTAGACAATCACAGTTGCTGTCAGATAATTTCAGTAATATTAGTTATCTCTTATGTGGTTCTGGGTTGACCACAAATATGAGCCTCTCTCCACCCACCTTAACCTTTTGGTTACTGTCATGGTGATTTGTTTTCTAAAATAAAATTTTATAGCTCCAAAATAAACTTTTATGGTGGTGCATCTTTAATTCCAGTGACTCAGGAGGCTATTGGATTGCAAGTTCAAGGCCAGCCTCACCAATTTTTAGCAAGACCCTATCTCAAAATAAAAAGGACTGGGGATGTTGTAACTTAGTGATAAAATGTCCCAACTACCCCCCCCCCATATATGTATATATATATATATATTATATAAAAAACATTTTTCTTTGGGAACAAAAAGGGGGAGTATCCAATTAGATTAGTATAACAGTTTGTTTTCTATTTTTCTATTTTTGTTTCTCTGTTGGTGATAATA